TCAATGGCTAGAGACATTATCAGACATGGCCCAGTCGCGCCCTCAATGGCGCTCGTGCATTCAAGCTATTGCCTTCAATGCATAGCTCCTTTTCCAACCCCCTCACTACTTGACAGCCCACTGAGTGCTGGATTTATGCACCAACTTATCAGCTCCCGGCTGCAACGCGCAGCTACCTACCCCTCCCCCCCCAAACCATCGGTGAACGAAACTGTGGCAGCTACAACCAGTGTACGACCAGTGCGCGGTTCTTACAGCTGACAATGATGATGATGATGATGATGACTGGCTTGTCGCGAACCCAAGACAACACCACGACCCCGACCAGTTGACTGGCAAAAATAAGGCTGTGTATGTAGGTGATCAATTCTAGACTCAAAATAGCCGAAAAAAGCCAGTTCCTCTCAGGAGGTAAAACTTATTTGTTTGCTGATATGACGCTGGATACCAGCTTTTCCATGATATCTTAGATGTTGACCGACGAATTCATTGCAGTCGTATTAAGTCAGATGGGAAGACTATCACTGCCAGTTTCTGGATTTGCACAGCAATCACGTTTGAGTACTGTTTGACTATTCTCAGCCACCGTCCAGTTTCCTCTTTCGACTCACTATATTCGCCTCATTTCGGTTAATTGCTAAGGAAGTAAGTTGCCGACTTTAGTTGTCCATGTTGGATAGTTATCAATTGCATTTGCACAGGTTACAACTCATATGGAGTTTCTTTGGTGTAGGATGCTATCAGCTTCCACAGTTTTTGTTCGAGCTTGCACCTTTAGCCTTTGCATATTAAGATTCATCATGCAAGGCAGAGAGGTAAGGTGTAAAGTGCTGAACAAACTACTAGGATAGACGACAGTTCCTGAAGGTCACGTCTACCAGGTACCTCTTACTTAACCAGGGTTGCACATCATTCAAGCGGAGATCCCCAAGCTGCTATCACGTAGTTCATCCAGCCCGTTGAAGAGGTGTGATGAGAGGTTGACCGATGTTTCGTGCGAACAGGACTGGGTTGCAGGTATGAACCAGAATGTCTCGTACAAATTTGAGCATATCAGAGCAGTGATAAAATAAGCCAGCCTATCTGAAGTTAGTCCATTTTGAACACACTTGTCAGCCACAGTGCGCGTCACATAGGTAATAAATAAACGCACGTACCAGGAGTTTTCAGAAACCTTGTGAGTAGTTTCATTTATGAAAATATTCTGCGATATCTCGTATATTGTTCCAACTAAAACACTAGGTGGCATTTGTGCATCACATTCAGTTGAAAAATACCATAAACGAGAGATTCAATTGAGGCTCTCGTGAAAACCAAATTGATATGCAAATGAGTGTATTTATCGAAACATACAGATCAGTTTTAGAAATTCAAGATTCATATTGGAAGGAAAGGCGCACGATGTTCGACCGGTCACTTGGAGAAGGGATCAGATCTTTCGTAAACAGACCTGTCTTGAGTCCTACAATCATCAAATCTTCAGGAAAGGTCTATGAACGTTGTCTGTCAGCTGCGCTGATGGCTTTAGAGACTGAGGCATATCAAGCCAACGGAGAAACAGGATTTCGACCAAACTTACAATGACTGACATTGAATTAATTCTGTGCTCAAAATGCGCTAAGTAACGTACTCTTTCCAAGGCTTCCTTATTTTGCACGACTGTGATATCTTCCGCGGCGTGAAACTGGTTTAAAACCAAGTTTGTCAACCTCAGTCAATCATTCACTGTCCCAAAGTGTGTTTTGACAAAAAGCACCGTAACAGCTGGCGAGCAAATAAGTTTTGTCTTAAAAATATGAATGGCTCACCTTGTCATCAATTGAACCGGTAGTCAGGGGAGGTCCTGGAGCCCATAAGAATGGAATGGGCGAGATTGTCCAAGTGGTTAGAGCGCGAATTTACTGACCGGAAGGTTCGTGGTTCGAACCCAAACTCTGCCTCTCGACTTCCCGTGTCTAGGCTTGGGCAACTTGGCAGTATCCCAGCCCTTGTGCAACCTTCGGGTGGCATGGCAGTTAGGCCCTGAAAGGGTGCTACAGCTGAGTTTGTAAAATTATGTCGAACTCGGCTGACATTTATCGCCATTTGTTCTTTCGATGTTCGGTGCTTGTTTACAAAAGTCCCGCTGGAAGAGACAATTAATTTTATTCGTGAATTAATCATAATAGAATAAAATTACTTCAGCTGTAAGACCCTCATAATGCCTAGTTGCTGTACCACCAGATACAAGCACGAGGGCTGAGATGCTGCCAAATTGCTCAGGTCTAGATGGAAGCAGTCAATGTGCCGCGGTTAATTTCGAGCCATGGATCTTCCAGATCGTGCCTTAAACATTGACATGACTCGAGCCATCCCACCTCATTTATCGCTCCAGTGATGAAAGCTGTTTTACTACTGTGTACCAGAAATATCAATTTCACAACCAAGGTGAACTGAAAGCATAGCGGAACGGGCCCGAAAAGTACGGGGCGGGATATAGAATGGGTTTGAGCTATTGACGGTGAACACATGGTATGATAGCAAGATACTTCAAAGTTCATCCCCGTCTCTAAAGTGTTTTTATTTGGAGTTTTCCTAGGACGTAGAAGTACAGAAAGTCATGCTGTGATAAAATGAGCACTTTGTACGCAAAATGTTCTATGTGTATATGCGCCCAAATGGACGCAACCTTCGAGGTTAGACTGGACTACGGGTCGTTCGGACTTGACATGTAGCTCGTTGCAGGCTAATCGCGGAACCGTCCATTTGGACGTTGTTAACCAAGTCGAGCAAGCGGATAGCCAGCGACTAGTCCATACTTGCAGCATTTATGGGCCCCCAATAATTGTCTGGGGTAGTCGAATAGAATTTGTGACAAAGACTGCATAACTGCGGAGATTGTTGTGTTGCACACCGGGAGCACTTTTCACTTACCTCCAAATCTTCAACTTCAGTGACCGCGGAAACCACTTGTGATCCTTTCGCTTCAGCAGGATCTAGTCAGGGTTCTTCCCCCAATTTTTCTTGTCCACCGTTTGACTTCGTTTGCCCGGCCACCCACATAAAAGCACATACTCAGGTCATGTACGTTTTGAGCCGAAAGAACGACTGGTCTGACTATTCACCGAAGTGCTTGTCTCAACTTGCTGCAACGTTTTCAGGAGGGCCATTCGTGAGGACGATGCAGGTCGCCTTGTCACCACATTGGAGCAACTGGTCCACGATGCACACTCTCAGCTCCGTAAGAAGCGACATCGGGCTGCTGTCGGTACAGAAGGCTTTGTGCGTCTGGGAATGGTAAGTAAACCTGTAGGAAATTGGCGATTTGTTCGCACAGTGGTCCATCTCACACGCTATTCCTTGTGAATAGAAATGTATTACAGAGGCAGACTGTTGTAACTCTCTCCGTAACCCGGCTCCATACAAGGGACTCACCCAACTTCATTGTGATCAAAAGCGGTACAACAGGGAGCGTTGCCTTGTGTTAAGACTCACTTTTGAACTTTCATCATAGTTCTTCGGTGAGTGGTTGATCGGCATCGCCTCTAGGTCAAGCCTGAGCACGTGAGCATCGTCAGTCATCGCTGATTGGCTGCTTGAGCATTCAGTCGCTAGCTGGTTTTTCTGACCCGTATACTCGGTTGCCTCATCTAGGCGATTTTTGCGGAGCTAGTGGTTCGCCGTAAGTCTCTGACATTCTGGGGTTTATTTTCAAGAACCTGACCTTCCTGACAGCGACATTTTAGTAAAACAAATTCATGTATTCCTTCTTCCGGTGAAAACTCCATCAGGAATGACGAAATAGTGTTTTTGTTTGAACTGTTCGTTACTTTTAAAATTGTCCTGTTAATCCCTCTGTTGAGTGTTTTTTGACGTGTCTTATTGTCACTTCTCTTATGGTGTGCAATATTCATTACATCAGTCTCATTCATTTCGGTTAGCCTTTTGGTTGTCACGACATACCAGGCCCATTTACCACAAATTCCGGCGACCTCGGTAGCGGTAGTGTGTCTATGACCCTAACAACACGTGACCCCACAACGATTGCCGTTTACTTTTGTGGAGACCGATGACGGGAAAGTTTGGTTGGGATCTCAACATGATCGGTAACGGTATCGACCCACAAAAGCGTTTCCATTGACCAGGAAAACGAAATACTCGTGGTCGAGACTGTCCGCTGTCCGTCTGATTAGGCAGTGTGCTTGCAAACGGCGTATCGCCAGTCAAGGTGACATCATCGTTGCGTTGTGGGCGACTGGCATTCAGTGTGTCTTTTGTTCGCTTCTGTCTATATAAAGTCTGCTCACCCAAACTGATTCCAGATTATTAATGGTAGTGAGGGCGATTAGTCTTTCTGACTTATTTATTCACTTGTCTCCCAATTTGTCGACGGGGCGAGGTCGCTCAGTGGTTAGAATGCGAAGTTACTGACGGGAAGGTCTTTGGTTCGAACTCGACTTCTGCTTCTCGATTTCTCTGTCTAGGTTTGAGCACCCCGGCAGTATGCAAGTCCTCGTGTTTCCTTCGGGTGGCATGGCAGCTAGGCACCGAAAAGGTTATACAGCCGAACGATTCGAGATTTTTTGTCGACCACATCGGTCCGCCTGCCGTGACCGTTGGATACTTGTCTCCGCGGCAAGTATCCCGTCAGCCACGGGGGCTATGGAAAAGGAGTAACCTTTCTGGAACTCGAATGGGACTTCAATCGAGAGTAGAATAGAGACAAATGAATATGATGCCCCTCGAAGAGCCCGCATCTTCGGGACCAACCTAAATCTAACTCTTCTTGAAGGCTCTTCCTAGTGTGTGTGTGTGTGTGTGTGTGGGGGGGGGGGGGTCGGTGGATTGCGCACACTTTAAGTGGTACTCTGGTCGCATCTTTCCTTACAACTGGAGTGTGCACTAACCGGTATGTACTAATTTATCGAAAATAAAACTGTATATTGGTGCCTCAGAGAACCAGTGACCAGAACATCCTAGCACTTAAGTTATAGCCTTTTGATCCAATCGACGATAGTCGGATTTGACTCATGCTAGATATGACAAAACATCCAAGGAACAAACAAGTGAAATTTAGTGGAAGAAAATTACAAAACACGTTGGTGTGGTTGGTTTTGATTTTCGTGACTGGCCGCTCCTCGCTTTCCACTTCAGGGAGTTAGTCTAGTTCCTTTCATTTCCAGGTAAATTGTCTCGTCATTAGGCCAATAGGCTGGCCCCAGAATATTGTCCAACAGTTCAGTATAAAAGAAGCTTCAAGAAGAGGAAATAACGGTGATGTCGGGAAGAAACTCCGCAAACCTTGCCATGGTTCCATTATCCCGAAGTTAAGAGATCCTGGTATGGATGCACTCTACTCTGCACCGGATTCGTTTAACTTAGCTATCCAAGTCTCACTGCTTCGCAGCATCAGCACTCCAGCAAGAACATCTAGTCGGGACATGTCATCAGACCGATGACAAATCGCAGAGAGTCGTTCGTTCGTTCAGCAGTAACGCCTGTTCGTCGCTCAGCTGGCGTGCCACTCGAATGAGGGACGAGGGCTGATAGACCGACGGAAGCCCTAACTCTAGATAGAAGTGGTCGAGATTCTGAAGCTGAGTTCAAACCACGAACCCTCTGGTTGGGAATTTTGCTCCTGAACCACTGACTTGTCTCGAGCATGCTGTAGAAGCGAATAAATAGTTGCGGCGGGAGGACCAAAGAGATGACGTCTCAATTTCACACGGATGTTAATCAGCCAATCATTTGATCAATCGTCCTCTTGATAACTCAGCCAGTCAATCAACACACAGCAGTATTCATTCTAGTGTTCACTGATAAATCAAGATCAGCGAGCTTCATTGCACACGTTCGCTTGCAACCAGCCACTTTGCACCGGTGATGTCACCTTGACTGGTGATGAAACATTTGTAGCTGAACAGTTGAGGTTGGTAGACAAACAGACGGCCACGGTTTGCGTAAGTATCCCGAGCCCAGTGGCCATTTTGTTGCAACCTTTCTCACTTCATTGAACGGGACAAATTCAGCCATATTTCCCTCTCCAGGCGCCTGGAAGATTTGTCAAATACCGGCATCGTTCGAATCCAACGAGAAGGGCTAGTCCCACGATCATGGTTCTTGATCGAATATGCATGAACGCAGCATTCAAAATCTGCTGCATCAACTCGTGATGCTCTGCCAATGAAGATTGATAACTTGAACATCTTGTAGCAAAGTAACCCAATAATATACCGTAGAATGCGTTCAACAGGATGTATACACTATTGACTGCTTAGTTTTCCCCGTCATTTTATTCGTTTGAATCGGTTAAATTTAAAATCATTATGAAGTTCTGACGGATTTCTTCATTCCTTGCCTTGCATCTGTCTTTTGTCTTCATCCCCTCTTGAAAAAAATCAGATGCGTCATTTGTTCCTGATAATCGATATGTCCAGTGCGATGCAGGTACAGGATCTGAAACCTACACGTCTGGTATGCACTCTACGGGTAAGCGATCAGTAGGGTTCCTGTGACTATTTCGTAGGCCGTTGCAGAATTCGTGCGGGACTACTTTGATCAGAATCCGATCAGTCAGTTGGGCATCATCGTCACCGCTGACCGGCAAGCGGAGCGCTTGACCGAGCTTTCAGGTATGCGTTTTGGTTGAATGATCGTTTGAACAAAAATGTTTCTCCCACCGACCTTGAGGATACTTGTATATCGATCTCGGAGTTGGTTTGCATGAGATGGGCATTGCTCATCATTTGTTGACCAGCGTAATACAGTTGTGCTGCAATTCGTGATTCATGTCAAAGTGCTGCCATTTGACTCAAACAGATACTTGCGTACCACCAATGTAGGAATGACTGACGGGGCCAACAGGCGATTCTAATGTTTACGTATTACATGATCGAATCATTGTGACTTTTGCTGATGTTCGTGGTCTAAGTCCAAGTAAATCTCACCCGAACTGGATTGGGGTAGCTCGCTCATTTTCATCCCAACGAAGTACTCTGAGGTAGATTTAAGCGATTTGAGACTGTAATCACCTTTAGATGGGTGAATTTTGGAAAATTGATTGATTATTCGACTATCAGATTAGCGAGGTCGTATTCAATGGTTTCTTGGGCGAATCTAATTTGATTGAAACAACTCCCATTTTCTTTTTGAACAGTCGAAAACTTTTAACACGTTCTGAGGATGGTTTTTCGACCTGGTTTCTGTTTCGAATCTTTGTTGGTCGTACTTTTAGTTGTGGACTTTCAGTAGCCCCCGTGAAGACGCACAAACACACGTACTCAGATACCTCTTCATCTTACTGAACTGGACACCTTTACACTTATCGCCAGATATCATTTTGACCTACGTTGCGATGAATCACAGAATGTAGAACAATGGCTGACCAGAAAAGTTCGTCCAAGTTTGTTTAAGACTGTTTTGGTACCGATCGTCGCCATCAAATCAAATCGTTGCCCAAGCTTAGACAGGGGGGGTTGGGTTCGAACTACGGACCTACCGGTCAGTGAATCCGCGCTCTAGCCACTTGAGCCACCTCGCCCCCCGCCGAAAGATTACCTTATCTGCTAAACTACTTGGTTCACTACCCCAGATTGAACTTTACATCTTGTTCATCAAGCATCTCGCGGTCCAAACACAATCTTTCGCCTCCCTGTCAGGAATGACGTTGTAGATACCCGTAATTGACTGATGAAATTCCGCCTTGAGCACACCAGAAATCACTGCTTTGGTTTGAACAGATCTTTTGTGATTAAGGCATGCGCATCTATAGAGAAAGCCGAATTATTCGATAAAAAACAGAGGGACCATAATGGGGATTTCATATTCTATATTTGGCCTGTCTGGGCTTGGGCAACCTGGCAGTATCCCAGCCCTCGTGCCTCCTTCGTGTGGCATGGCAGCTAGGCACCGGAGGGTTGCTACAGCTGAACGATTCATTCTATATTTGGTCCACTATCGAAGCTATCTATAAATCCAGGTTCGGGATGCAGTTTTCGAAAGTCATACATTCATAATCTTCCATTCTTTCACACACACTCTTAGGCAATCCACGCTGTCACTTGGCCGCCTTAGAAACCCTGTTCACTCGACCCTGTTCTGGCGAACCGAGCCTTCAAAATGCACTTACTCTCGCCGAATCCCGTTTGAAGTAAGTTTTCGCCTGATGACCCGTAAACCCTACTCTATTCGCCACTGCTACTTTGCACGTTTGCTCCAATTCTTCCAGATACACTCCGCATCACAGCGAAATTCTCGTGATCATGGCTAGTTTAACGACTTGCGACCCTGGAGATATCCACAAGACCATACAGAGTCTGGCGGCTAACCATATTCGCTGTTCTGTTGTATCACTGGCTGTCGAAGTCTTTGTTTTCCGTGCATTGGCGCAAATCACACAAGGTACGTCACTTTTTAGGCTTTTTAAATTTCATGTTTTCAATAACAGTCCACCATCAGCGTTGGTTCGGCGTAGTCCATGGAGTTCAACAAATTTCCCGTCTCGCTTGTACGCATTGTGTCTCACACGTATCACAACCATATCTAAATTAT